TCTTCTTTGGAAAGTTGTGGATGGAGATAAGGGCAGGATGGGAAATGGAGGGAGCACTCCTGGTGGGCTCACCAAGCACAGAGTCAATCCCTAGGGCTGTTCTTCTGTCCTGCTCTCAGTCTTAAGACAGCAAGGGAAGGGGCCATTTTAACAAGAGATTAACCTAAATTCCCAATATAGCCCATGAAAAGAAGACAGAGTTTTATTGTACAGTATCAAGATAGATGTCTATAAATAGGCAAAACTTCAGTCATAAAATCTTATATTAAAATGTCAGATTTTGAAAATGATGGAAACAATGTCCCTTAAATGTGTCATTTACATTTCGTCAATTTCAAATGTTCCTTTTTTTTAATCCTCTCCTTTGTGCTCAAACACTGCAAATTCAGAGAAATTTGTGGCTTTGGGTATAGAAAGATGCCCCCCCCCCATTTTCATAGAGTTATAAAGTTGAAGAAAAACTACAGATTTCTTAAAAATGTATTTTCCCAAAACAGATGAGCCCTGGTTGGTGTAGTTCAGTGGACTGAGTACCAGTCTGCGAACCAAAGGGTTGTCGGTTCAATCCCCAGTCAGGGCACATGCCTGGGTTGCCAGCCAAGTCCCCAGTAGGGGGTGCACAAGAGGCGACCACACACTGGTGTTTCTCTCCCTCTCTCCCTCCCTTCCCCTCTCTTTAAAAATAAATAAAGTTATATTTTTAAAAGATGAATAATTTCACTGAGATTTTTTAAAAATAAAAATAGTATTAATGAGTACCCACTCTGTGTCAAAAAATAAGCCCCAAAGGAATACAGTAGTTTAGTAATAACATTTCTAGCTATTTCACTAAAATGCATTTTTTATTCTCTTGGGGAAAATCAAAAGGCATAAAATTTTAACATGATCATTCAAATTCAATTGTAATGTTTTTAACTTTACAAGAATTTTTAAATTTGCCCATGTGGGATATTTCATATTTCAAAATATTCCAGTTCAAATTTAAAATATAGCTGTAATTTAAACCACTGAATAAGATTTCAATATCAGGTATATTAAAATTTAGTCAACAGTCAAAACACTGTTTACAATGCTGAATTATTTTCAAGTGCCAACTTATTAAATCATGCATTATAAATCCAAATTGTTCAGAGATATTTCCGTAATGAGCAAATGGCCAAATGGTATCAGTAAAGTTGTTTGACTGATTGAGACCAATGGTGATTTTTCAAGTGATCCTCCTAGCTTCTTACCATTTTGTCAAGACATATCCTTGGTCTCAAGGGGACCTGAGTTTCACCGTGTGGATAGATCAACAGAAATTCAACAATACTACTGGGAAAACATCCTAACATTGATAATGAGTGTAAGGAAAACAATGGAAATCTCACTTTGAAATAGTGTTTAAATATCAGTAAGATGTTTTGCTCTGTGTGAATAATAGTCTATATATAACTGTTTTTGAGTAACTCTATTACTGAGGTTGTTGGTAAATTTTGGTGCAGGCAACCTCTTGCTAGGATGAGCAAGAAAAGTACCATCTGTAGGTGAAGCTCTATCTAGTTCCAACTCTTCCTCCCAACAAGCAAATCAAGATGGAAAGGGATTGAGGTAGGTGAATTAAAAGGAATGAAGTCATTTATTCCTTTAGAGAGGGAAAAAGAAAAGGGTGTGGGAGGGAATGAGAAAATTACTATATCCATCTGAAACATCTTGGTAAAGACTTTTTTCCTCTTCTTTGTATTTGTCTAGCTAAGAGAAAAACAAAGAAGAAGAAAGAGAAGGGGAAAGAGAAGAGAAGAGGAGAGGGGGAACAAGAAAGGGAGAAATAAATGCAAGGAAAGGTAATGGAGAGTAGATGCTGTGTCATTCTCTCTCTTCCCCACATTGCACCCCCTCCACCCCAGGACTCCTCCTCTGGCAGCTGATGGAAAGAGACTGAGAAAGCAGTTGTGGTCCTGTTGTGAATGAAGAAGCTGTGAGGACTTTAAATCAAAGCAAAGTCACAGAGCAGTAAAATCAGGAGGAGCTCAGGGAGTTCAGCGCCACAGCAAGCAGATGAGAAAACGGAGCCAAAGGTTTGCCTTTATAAAGATGTAAAAGTTAAGAGAGAGGAAGACCATGCATTATCATACTTATCAAATGGTGGACAAAGGAAATATTTTAACTTAGGCTGGCTAACTTCACAAGCTGCAATTAAATAGCCTTTTAAAATACTGTACCTTTTATAATACAAGTTTAATAAATAGATGCATGTTTGATGATTATAGTGTAGAAAATGCACAGTCATTCATCCTTGGGAGAGAATTTTGGCAGAAAATACCGTCCAAGCTTCAAGAAAGCTGTCATAACAGCCACAGTAAAACATGAAGAAGGCATTGGCACTCAGATGGCATTCAATAAATAATTTTGTTGAAAGGATCAGAGTGAATTTTGGTCAAGATGGAGGCATAGGTAGACACTCATTGCCTGCTCGCACAACCATATAAACAATTACAACCAGATCTCAAAAACAAATAATGCCCAAAAATGTCAGAACATCAAGCTGTATGAAAGCTTGACAACCAAGGATTTGAAGAAGACACATGCATCCAGACAGGTAGGAGTGGAGTTGCAGAGCTGGGGTGGAGAAGATGTGGTGCAAAGCAGAGAGGTGGTGGCAGCGGTGAAATGGACAGTCCCACATTCCCTTGTAGTAGATAAAAAGTGGGAGAGTTACCTTGGGAGTGAGTGATCGTGCAGCCCAGGGTTCCAGTGCCAGGAAGGTAAAGCCTCACAACTTCTGGCTGTAAAAACTAATGGGGGTTGGGGTGGCAGAAGTCAACTGAGGGATTTTCACTGCTTAAAGGGCCCACACAGGCTTAGAACATACACAAACCCCACAGCAGCAGGCGGGAGGGCACCAATCACATAGGGGAGGTAGGGTAAGGTGGCTGGAAGTCGGGCAAGTGTCTGGCAGGCCTCCAGAGGCCAGGCAGTGGCATTGTCCTTTCTCTAAACCCTCCCCCATAGAGAGCCACAGAGTAGTGAAGTGGATTGCCTGAACCTGGCAATTATTTAAGGCTGGACCCCATACAACTTACAGGTGCCTTTTCTGTAATACATCATGTTACTAAGACAGGGAGTAAAAGCAGCTTTACCTAGAATACAATAGAAACAGATGCAGGGGAGCCACCAAACTGAGGAGACAAAGAAATATGGCCCAAATGAAAGAACAGAACAAAACTCAAGAAAAAGAACTAAACAAAATGGAGATAGCCAACTTATCAATGTAGGGTTCAAAACACTGGTGATCAGGATGCTAAGAGAACTCATTGAGTATGGCAAAAAACATAAAGGAAGAAATGAAGTTTACACTAAGTGAAATAAAGAAAAATATACAGGGAACCAACAGTAGAGGGGGTGAAGCTGTGATTTGAATCAATGATTTGGAACAAAAAAAAGAAATAAACATTCAACCAAAAGAGAAAGAAGAAACAAGAATTGAAAAGAATTAGGAGAGGCTTAGGAACCTCTGGGACAACTTTAAATGTACCAACATCTGAATCATAGGGGTTCCAGGCAAAGTGGAAAAGCAAGAAATTGAAAAAATTATTTGAAAAAAAAAATGAAAGAAAACTTCCTTAATCTGATGAAGGAAATAGATATATAAGCCCAGGAAGCTCAGAGAGTCACAAACAAGTTGGGCCCAAAGAGGTCCATGTGAAGACACATCATAATTAAAATGCCAAATGTTAGAGATAAAGAGAATCTTAAAAGCAGCAAGAGAAAAGCAGAGAGTTACCTACAAAGGAGTTCCCATACAACTGTCAGCTCATTTCTTAAAAGAAACTTTGCAGGCAAGAAGGAGCTGGAAAGAAGTATTCAAAGTGATGAAAAGCAAGGACCTACAACCTAGATGGCTCTATCCAGCAAAGCTATCACTTAGAATGGAAGGGTAGATAAAGCAATTCCCAAAGTAAAGCCAAAGAAGTTCATCATCACCAAGCCATTATTACATGAAATGTTAAAGGGACTTATTTAACAAAAAGAAGATGATCAAAACTATAAACATTAAAATGACAACAAACTCACAACTAGCAATAGCTGAATCTAAAAAATAATAAAAGCAAACTAAGCAAACAACTAGAACAGGGACAAAATCATAGGTATGGAGAGCACATGGAGGGCTATCAGTGGGGAGGGGGGAAAGGATGGGGGAAAAGGCACGGGGAATAAGAAACATAGTTGGTAGATACAAAATAGACAAGGGGTGTTAAAAATAGTACAGGAAATGAAGAAGCCAAAGAACTTATATGCATGATTCAGGGATGTGAAGTAAGGGTGGGAAATGCTGGTGGGAGGGTGAGTACAGGGCAGAGGGGGGCAAGGGGAGAAAATTGCGACAACTGTAATAACATAATGAATATACTAAAAAAAGCATCTAGCCCGTGTCTTGAACACAGTAGGTACTCAATAATTGACCTCTCTGGAATCAAATAAATCTGGGGTCATGTCACTTTCTCTTCTCACCATGGGCACTTGGTAGGCACAGCATCTAGCATCCAGTATCCAGCACCCAGCAGAGTGGACAATTTAGTGGGTAGGATGGCAAGTGTTGGGCCCAAGTGTTCTTACCTTGGTGGGGCGGGGGGGCACTGTCTTCACTCCCTGGCAGGTCAACAGGCAAGCCTACTCCTCAGATTCTGATACCCCTCCCCCACCTATGACATCACCGCCAGAGTTGTCAATAGTAACCGTGAGGGGTCTGTGAGGTCACCGCATTCTACTCCACAAAGACTCTCACCGAGCCACAGCCGCTGGCTCCTCTCTGTCCCAGGGAAGCTGCTGAGACCCAGAGACTCGAGAGCCGTGGTCACAACAAAGCTCCTGAGAGGGACGCGGATTGTTGGTAACCAAGGACATTCCAAGTACTGACTGTGGGAGGCCAGAACCAGGGGCAAAAGTTTTGTGGGTGTTAGGAGGGTCATTAAGCAGTTCCGGGAGACCTAGCTTGGGCACTGTCACTGTCGACAGCCACCATGGCCCTCGGCTGGCTGCTGTTTCTGGTGATGGCTCTGCCTTCCGGCACGACAGGCACCAAAAGCTGCCTGTTCTGTGAACTGACTGACTCCCTGAACTGCCCCGGGATCCTCATGAGCTGTGGCGATGACGAGGACTGCTTCACTGGCCAGGGGACTGCTCCCGGCCTCGGCTCCATCACCAACAAAGGCTGCGTGAGATCCAGTTCCTGTGGCCGCGAGGAGCCTGTCACCTACCAGGGCGTCACCTACAGCCTCATTTCCACCTGCTGCTCTGGACAACTGTGTAACAGGGCCCTGGACCCCGCAGACAGCCGGATGGCGGAGACCCCTACCGGCCTGGCGCTGAGCGTGCTGCTGCTCCGTTGGCTCTGACCAGCATGGAGGGCAGGGCCTAGGACTGGTCTCAAGGTTCCACTACTTCTTTTGCCCCCTGCTTCCTCCCCGCTCCCCCTTCCCCCATTAAATGGCCAGAGGCCCTAGACAACTCCTTGTGGTTCTGGCTTCATTCATTGCAGGGCTTACCAGTGGGGACTATGCCTTGTGGGTTTCACTGTACCACTGTATTTCATTGGTCCTAGGACTGCATCTTTTCACATTTTGATCAGGACACTTCCTTTCATTGGTGTTACCTTAGAATTGATGAAATATGGTAAAAAAATAATAAAATTAATAAATGCTAGCTGATATTTATTTAAAAAGAGGGATCAAATACCATATAATCTCACCTATAAATGGAATCTAATCAACAAAACAAACAAATGAGCAAAATAGAACCAGAGACTTGAAAATGAGAAACAAACTGAAAGTAACTGGGGGTGGGGGGCTGGGGGTGGGGGGGATGGGAGAAAGAAGGGGAAGAGGCAAGCAAAGGAACACAAGGATTCATGGGCATGAATAACAGGGGGTTGGCTGTTGGAGTAGGGGGATGGGGTGAGCAATGGGGAAAAAGGCAGGACAACTGTAACTGAACAATAATAAAATAAAATAAAATTAAATTAAATTAAATTAAATTAAATTAAAATAATATAAAATAAAATAAAAAGAAAATATTAAAAATAAAATATAGAATATAAAATAAAATTTAAAATAAAATATATAAAATAATATAAAATAAATAATAAAATACATAAATTAAAATAAAATAATTAATGAAATAAAATAATAAAATGGAACAATAAGTGAATTGTTGAAAGGTAAAGTGAGGCAATATTAAAAGGTTTAAGAGTTTGAGCAAAAATCAATTTGAATTGGGTAGATTCAGTCTAGCTGAAAGAAAAGGGCTCCAAGGAGCTGTCCAAAATAAAATAGTTCTATAGACAGAAGGAAGCAGAAATAAAAATGTTATAGTAGACAAAAAACCTTGTTGGTTTCTGCAAGGTCACCTTCCTTTAGGGGATGACAGAGGTCTATCAGGCAGATGACCTAAATAGTGCTCACAAGGTGACTCCTGATTGACTGGTGTAAGATTCCATTTCTGGGAGAGCTGAAACTATAATTAAGTCTTGGTTTGGTGACATGGGGCTTAGCATAAGCAACTCCATTTTGGGTCTATTGTATTAACAATAATGGATACATGAATGAATAAATGAATGCAAGCAAGCTGATCATAAAATCCTGAAAATTTCAGGAAACTATGTTAAGATTGAAAAAGTAAACTCTGGATAACAGATAACCAAAGCTACAAAATAACAGAAAATGCCTCTTCCTGTGGAGAGCATTGCTCAGCTTTTAATGATACAGTATATACATATTTACGTTGAACTAAACACATGGACTTGACAGCTAACTTTACAGTGTTTTCTCCTCACCACTGTATTTCTTCAGAAATCTGCTAAACAAGAACTAAATGCCCAAATGTATGCACTGTGGCATTTCTGATGCTGAATGACAATAAACAACCTGTATGGCATAATATGATAGGCATTTCCTCCCCTCCAATTAAAGCTTTCCAGAATGTAAAACTTGCATCCCATTTGTGGTGCTTGAGATGAGTGATTTGCCCTGCATTAAACATGCTTTGCAGTTAATCCTCTCAAAAGTGTGTTCATAAGCCAACCAAAGAGCTCTGTGCATTAAGAGATTTGGTCATGACCATGTTTTAATGACCATCAGATCACCAGGCAGTGGAGTTCTTTTACCTGTAATTTTCCCCTGATAGGACCTGTTTTAAATATGCAGGCGCTGGGAAATGACTGGAAAGCCAAGCCAAGAGGAGCAAGTGTGAATTATAAGCACATCAGAGCTGTGGAAATTGGAAAGCCCGCTTCATAAGTAGAAATGTCCCTTAGCAGAGGCCATCTATCTCATATTCCATATTGAGTCTTTTGCCTGTTCTTTTAAGTAACAAAATATGGAACAGCAGGAACCTACCACTCGAAGGACACGTCTTCAAGAACAAAGTAATGGCTCCATTTACAAGGCACTCAAAATATTGAGTGCCTTGTAAATGGGAACAAGCCTATGAGTCTGGGGAACAAGACTGGCTTTCACATACCCTTCCAACCTCACTTACCACTTCCCTCACCACTCATGCCCCCACCACTACGAAATATACAGTCTCACCTTGGTCTTCTGTGGCATTATTTTGTGATTTTCATTTAGTTTTGGTCAAAGCGTCAAAGATATCGAGTCCAGTGACTTCCAGATTTGGCTCTAACACCTTCATTTTCAGGCAATGTAATCGTGCAAGAAATAACCGGAACCTCTCTAGGACTCAGTTTCCTCATCTGTACAATGAGGTAAGACTAGTACCTTTCTCATTGGGCTAATGTGAGACATGGGATAATGCATGCAAACTGTTTAGCAGAGTGATGTGTAATGCATATTCACTGGATGTTCACCAATAAGAATATAGCTCTCTAATACTATTATTACAGCTATCCTATGCAGTTGTTGAACCATAAAGCTAGTAGGGGCTTTAAGAGCATTAAAAATCATAGCTCCCCATTAAAATTCACTGTTATCATTGTTTTGTTTTGGTTTTAGCACTGATCCTTCAGCTCCCACCCTCAGAGATTGTGAAGGAATTAATTTTGGTGGGGCCTGAGTTAGTGGGATCCCAAAGTGCTCTTTTAAACTTTCCTAGGGATCTAAAGTGCTGCCAGGGTTGAAAGCTACACCCCTCCTCATTTTACAGATGATGAGCCTGAGCCCCCAAAAGCTGAATTGACCTCCTCCAAGTCACGCAGCTGTTTGGTATGCTCAAAGAAAAAACAGAGCTAGACAGTAGTTAAAGCGGTAAAAATGGATTCTATTCAGCATTGTCGTGGTTACCGAGGAGAATGTTCTCACACATCTATGCTTCCCTCCCTCTCTTTCTCTTTCCCTTCCCTTCTCTCTAAAAATTAAAAAAAGAATGTATTTCTCACCTACAATGAGGCTTTAGAAAAAGAAAAAAGATGCCCACTCCTTACCTGGTAAGTAGCTCCCAAGAGGCATCAGTTTAGGGAACCTAAGAGTTTTAGGGTCTATGACCCAAAGATGATTTCTGGGTCCTGGCCACTGAAGCACAAGTTATTCAGATATTGTCACCAGAGGCATATGTGACTGAGGGTTTCCCCATCTGGTGCTCAGTGTAACAGCAAAATACACAAGAAGGTCACATCTACTAGAGCCTGTTCAATATCCAGGCTGTGGTTTTGCCTGTTTCTGTTTTTCTTTATTTTGGATCATGGATATCTAAGTATGAAATCTAAAACCTTAAACAACATAAATTCTGTTATGTAGTGGCCTTACTCCATCCCAGGGCTTTTCCTGCCTCCGGGCCTTTGATTATGCTGTGCCACCCTCTAGCAGTACCCTCCCTTCTCTTCCTCCTTTCTCTCTATGTACAATTCTACCTGTTTACCAAGGTCCAACTTTGTCTTAAATAGCTGTATACCTTGAAAATTTTTACTTGCCTATGAGCTCACCAAGTCAATATCTTTGACTTATCACACCAAGTCAATATCACATAGTATAATATTTAAGCCAATTTAGAAACTCAGTTATGAGCTCCTCAGGGTAGGGAATTGTGGCAACATTTTTCTGTATATAATAAACACTAGAATGTAGCTGAGCACACACCAGATTTTTTGATAAACAACTCTGGTTTGGTTTAGTTTGGGTCTATTTTGTCTTAAAAGGGAAACAATGGGTAGGTTAATGAGGGGAAAAATAGTACAGGTAAGCTAAGAATTAAAAACTTAATGGGCACATCAACATTGTAAGAATAGATTAGGAGGAAGTTATAACAACAAGGAGGAAACAAGCATATAAAGAATCAAAACCTCTACTCCAGAGAGCAAAAGTAGGCCTCCTGGAGGTAAGCATGGAAGAGAAGATGACTACTTAAAGTCCTCATTCTCAATTCGCACAGAACATTTACAAAGAGAGTGTAGAAAGTGTTTTCTTCCCTTTGAAATCCAGAGAGAATTCTGAGGTGCCTTCTGTAACAGCTTGAATTATTGTTGAGCAAATATTCCTTTTCCCCCCACCCACTATGAATACACTGTACTTCTTCAATCCCCTTGATGTTGGGCTTCATCATGTGACTTGCTTTGAACAATGGCATGTTGGAAGACATAATACAAGCAAGGCCTTAAATGCACCTATATAATTGGGCTTGGATTTCTCATCCCCAAATTCATCCATGAAAAGGCCATGCTGCAAAAGTCACTGCTCCTTCAGCCTGGGACCCATAAAGAGATACATGAAGCCAACCGACAACTTGGAGCCAAGTCCAGCCAACATGAAGCTGGAAGAACAGTCATCCAGCCTTAAGCAGCCAAACCACAATGAACTTAACCTGTGAACAGGAGAACAGATGCTTGTTGTTATAAGCCACTGAGTCTGGGGTTGTACAGTATTACTGGGGCAGCAGCTGGTTAATATACCTTACATAGTCTGAAGGGGAACATTGGGTTGAATGTGTTGAAAAGTAATAACCCAGATAAATTCATTATCTGAGCCTCAAACACCTGGTTTTATAGCTTACATGACTCGTGGCCCTCAAAGTTACAGCTAGCTAGAAACAAAAGTTCTAAAAAGGGAGAAAATATCCCCCCTGCTCAGGTAAAAATTTTCTTCAGTAGTAACACTGAAATTTCTATATAAAAGAAGCTTTGGAAAAGTAATAAGCTAGAGGGGGGTGGCAACTGCTGAGCTTAAATCTCTATTTGCATAACACTTCATTGTGAATTGGCCAATGACAAATCAGAGGGAGGTCTGCAAAAGCCCTTATGCGACCCTTTGGTGTCATGTGTTTTTTCCTCCATATTAACCCATGGAGGAAAGGAAGGTAAGCATCCACATGTTTAAACAAGACTCATCTGACCTGACTCTATTTGGGGGTTTAAAAGGAGGTAAACTTAATAAGGACAACAACAGGGAAA